TGGCTTTCCGGGAGTTCCATAGGTCGGTTATCATCTAACAAGTGATGTTAAGTTGATTCATCCACGTGTTTCTTTAAAGTAGCTTTCGGTAAGTATGCACTTAGTAATCCGCTTCACATATAGGGCGGGGGATTATCATCTCAATAATGACATCCATATTGCACTATGCATTACCTTGAATGATGTTGCTACGTCGCTATGCCAGGAAGATGTGCAGGAAGTTGTGCAGTTATTTGCGACGTTGTGTCTTGGATTTTTTAAAAATATAAAGTTGTTTCCCGATACTGGTATTAAATACTTTCGGGGGCCGATAACTGCCACCAGCTCCTGTGACCGCTGCTTCAGGAAGTTGTGCAGTTATTTGCGACGTTGTGTCTTGGATTTTTTAAAAATATAAAGTTGTTTCCCGATACTGGTATTAAATACTTTCGGGGGCCGATAACTGCCACCAGCTCCTGTGACCGCTGCTTCAGGAAGTTGTGCAGTTATTTGCGACGTTGTGTCTTGGATTTTTTAAAAATATAAAGTTGTTTCCCGATACTGGTATTAAATACTTTCGGGGGCCGATAACTGCCACCAGCTCCTGTGACCGCTGCTTCAGGAAGTTGTGCAGTTATTTGCGACGTTGTGTCTTGGATTTTTTAAAAATATAAAGTTGTTTCCCGATACTGGTATTAAATACTTTCGGGGGCCGATAACTGCCATCAGTTCTTGTGACTGCTGCTCCAGGAAGCTGTGAAATTTTTTGGGACATATTGTTCTATAATTTTTAAATATTCATACGTTTTTTTCATTATGTTGAGTTTGGATTAACCGGCACCAGCGCTCTGGAGCGCTATCGCTATCTCATTTTATTTCGCGACGAAAATTAAATAGCGATAGCGCCCCGGGGCGGTGGTGCGCTTAATTCGAACGCATCAAATCCTCATTCTGTCACCAATAAATTTAGACTTACGATCCATCACCATCGACTTATGGATAACAAATTATTATAACCAATAAAAAATATCACAACTATTTGTTTATATTTAAATAAACAAATGAATGATAAAAATTTAGAAAAAAAACATTCACGAATTAGAAAATAATTGGATAAGATTGATTAAAAAGATCTAAACATAAATCTTGGTTTTTTATAAAAATTATAGGGAAATCTGATGTCGACAACTTCAATAGTTCCTGGAGAAGCGGTCACAAGAGCTGGTGGCAGTTATCAGCCTTTAAAAATATTTAATACCAGTATCGGGAGATAAATCTTTATATTTTTAAAAAATCCAGGACACAACGTCGCAAATAACTGCACAACTTCCTGGAGCAGCAGTCACAGGAGCTGGTAATTGTAGGGATATCTGTCGCCGACAACTTGACAACTTCCCGGAGCAGCGGTCACAGGAAAATATATCTCCTCTCTGTTATATTTTGTATTTTAAATTCCTTCGCGCTCAATTCGTAATGATGACTACGTTTACAATTGTCTTTCTTATAAATTATCAGAATTTATATTTATCCATATTTACATCAGATTTCCATAATTACAGATATCAAAATTTATTGGTCTATATTAACAGATTTCCATATTTTAAGTTTACGAATATTAATGACTGTCTATTTTTTTATGTTTCTAAATTTATAATTGTCTTTTTTTCGACTTGTCTGAATTTATTCTTTTGTTTTTTTTTTTAAATATCAGTCATTTTAGATGTTTATATTCTGATGCGTCTAATTTCACGGAAATCTTTTTTTTTTTGATTTTATAATTTTACGCTTATCTTTTTTAAAATAATTCTAATTATTTTGATTACTACATTTTTTCATTGCTATTTTTTAACTAATCGATATTGCAAAGTATCCTCAATAAGATACATCATTTTTTTATTATTTCTGAAATCTTATTTTTCCATATTTTTCATTTATTGATTTCCTTACTCACAGATTCCCAAAATTTGATGTTTCCATTTTCTGTAAAATTTCCGACCTTAAAGAATCAATGAAACGTATTGTATATTAATTTATCCAAAAATAATTTTAACAAAAAAAAAAATTTGAAGAATTTGATCAAACTTCAATTTTCTTAATTAAATTCTCTAAATTAATTTTTTTTGTTTTAAAATTTTAATCATTACTTTTTTATCATTGTTATAATTTATGATATAAAATTATTCAACAGTGTTATAAATTCAATATTGGGATCTACGAATCAAATTGGGATTGCTTGAGTGTATCAGGTCAAAAAAGCATATTATTCATGATGAAGCGCAATGTAAAGCCTATTATTTTCTCATGTATAAGCATCATAGAAATTTCCGTCGATTCCTTCATCAAAGTAAGCTTTTCAACAGATAATTCCTTACCGAAATCAAAATTTAACTAACTCTCTTTTCAGCTTATCAAGCTTTCATACTCGGCGTTCAATTTCCTTCAACAGTCATCCTAGAAAATTATCGACCAATAATTAACCATCAAACCATTGAAGAATTCGCAATTTAAAATAGTTTTTACCACCTAGAAAAAATATCAAACTGCATCAATCAATTAACAACATGAACAAACAACGTTTTTTATATAATAATGTATAATTTAAAAAATTTTTACCATGTTTATAGAACAAACCTTTGTAAAAAATTGACCAACTATTGAAAAAATTAAGGAAGTCATAAATAAATTTATTTCATAAAATTCTTCTCAATTTGTGCTGAAGAATCATTAAAAATTTTGCAAACTTTCAAAGTACTTGATTTCGAACTCAATTATTTTTTTTTAGTATTCAATAATATTCGACATAATAGAGTAATTTTCTTAAATTCCGAAGTAAACTTTTCAACAGTTGACCACAAACTGAGTCCCCACTATCTTCCATCATACATTCAGTACTTACAGCAAAAGCCGCTCTTCTTTTTCCAGGAAGAAACTGTCAAAGCTGTCATTACGCACCTGGTAATTTTGATTCCAAGTTACTCTTTCCTTCATTTATTATTCACGATACGTGAGTTTGTCTCAGAATAGCTTGCAAGAAAAATCACCAAGAAGTGCGTGGCTAGTAATTTCCATGAATTATTAACAAACGTAAGTAAAGAAAACGCTACAAAAGTATGAATTGATTCTTTGGATTATTCGTTTTGCTACAAAATACAAAGTAGTATTTATGTCGATATCTGTATTTACGTAATATTATGTTTGAATAAAGACAGGACTTTATTGTAGATTATATAATAAAGCCACGACAATTTTACCCCATGAATATTTAAAGCCCTTTTCTTTCCCGGTAGCCTAAGAAATAAAACTTACATACATGCAAAGTGTGTTTGCTTTGCGCAGAAAATTAAACTTGCTATGACGATTTTGTTCTAATAATAAAAGGTAAGTCGGTGGAGGAAATTATATGGCTTAGCGTCAGCGGAGAACGCTAAAAGGGTCGAAGTCAGTCATCAGTTTTTTTGGACATCTATAAGAAGATATATCAAACACTTTTGCTTTGAATAGACATAGAGTTGAAGATCTATTTCTATTTCTTCTTGATATTTTCTTTAGGATGAAGGAGACTTTACTTCCTGTGAGCTTCTTTATCCTGAAGTGCATTGGACTGTGGCAGCCGGTACACTGGAAGGGATTTAAAACTTTACTCTATTCACTGTTTACGGGGTTTAGTTTTGTCATATTGTTTACCGATACTGGCTGTCAGATCGTCGATTGTTTCGTTACCTGCAAAACTGTCGCCGATTATGCGGACCACTCTTTCATCCTGCTGACCATGATCGGGATTTGTATTAAAATGGGCAGCATTATTAAGAACCGTAATAGGATTGTCGAGTTGATTGAGAGACTACAGACCGGCGCCTTTCAGGATAAAAATCCGGTTGAGGAAAGGATTTTGAAGGAGTTTGATAGTATTATGAAGTAAGATTGTCTCTTAATTTTTGAAATTGTTGATTTTTTTTTGTCAGTTTATGAAAAATTTTTTTAAATTATTTTTTTGAAAGTATTTTTTTTTATAATGTCATAAAGCAAGATTAAGATTATGTATTGTTTTCTGATTAAAGCAATTGATAATTTAATTTTTTTTTGTAATTATTAATTATCAATTTGAGATAATTCTTGCTACTTATACTTTTAGAGAATTGTAGGGACATTTTTTGTAAGTTTTAAGAGTAAAAGATTAAAAAATTAATAATTTTCAAATTGCCGAGCTTGACATTAAAAATTAATAAATTTTCAGAAAATTATAAAAATATCGACTTGTAAAAAATAGTAAAGTGTGTAAATTTTAAAACATTTATTGATTTTCTTTTAATTGTGATTTTATATGAAAAATTTTTTTGGCTAAAATTTTCAATAATTATTGAAAAATTTTTTATAATTTTTCAAAGTGTTGAAAAGAAAAATTAATAACGGAATTTAAGACTTAGAAGTCATAAAATTTTTTATAAATTGAAATTATTATCGAGAAAATTTTTAAAAAACATTGACGGTAAAAATTAAAAAAAAAGTGTAACAAAAAAATTTTTTTCCTTATTTTAGACATGAATATAAACAAAAAAATTTTCCGAATAATTTTTCCAATTCATATATATTTTTTTTAATCATCAAACACCAAAAAAACTCTTTTTCCAGATGGAGAACAATATTATTCGGTATCTTCGTCCAAATGGGAACAGTCAATCTGATAATATCGTCAGCGCTATATTTAGCACCTCACCGAATAACAATAACAAAATTGTACCTGCCGTGGGACACAAAGACACTTGAGGGGTACTGGACAGCGTGGGTGTTGCAAGCGATTTCCCGGTTCTTCGGTGGGCCTGTAAACGTGGCTTGCGACAGTCTAGTTTCCGGAGTAATGTACCGAGCATCCGCGCAGTTCAAGATCCTGGCGAGTCGACTCCGCGGATTCCTTCTCGAGCCTCAATATTCAGAGGAGAATAATAACAATAATAAAAATGTTAAATACGATTATCATAGAGTGGAAAAACACGAAGCGGAGAAAATGGCCGAATTGGTGAAAGAACACCTGGAGATTATACAGTTGAGTAGCCGCTGGGCCTGTTATTATATTATCGCGATTCGGTTTGTTGGATAGGAGAGGAGTAGGTATAGGCGAAGGTATGCACTTTTTCCTAGCTTGCTACCTCCTGTTCGACATACCTGCCACCAAAATGAACAAAATCACTTTTTAAATAGTATAATGTCTGTAATGTTGTTAATACTCTTAGGATTATTACAATGCTCAACGATATCTTTGGGTTCGTTATTTTCATGCAGTACTGCGTTAGTTCCACAGTCCTCTGCGTTACGGTCTTCGTCTTCGCTCAGGTCAGACAATTTGACACTCATTGTGCTATGATGATTACTTACACTGGATGTCTATATTTCCAAATTTATCTTCTTTGCTCCGCTGGAACTCAGATGACTTCTCAGGTTCGGATAATATTTTCATATTTGTTATTTATTTTGAGCCTCGATGCGAAAATAAAAAATCTTGCCAATCATTTATCTCTTTTCGACCCTTACGAATCCTTTAGCGCCTGGATCATCCAGGAAAAAAGGTAACGCTTTGAATTACAGGTTCAAATAAAAGTCAATTAGCTAAAAAATGTCAGAAATTTTGAATTTTTAAGGTTTAATTTACAAATTTTGGAGTTTTACGGATGATAATTGAAGATTATAGTATAATTATAAAAATTGCTTGGAGTGTCATTAATCATTATTGACTTTTTATATTTTAATGACTTTATTTTTAGTTATATGATGGACAATGATAATCAATTTTTTATTTTTTGGCTAATTTTGGTACTTTCAAGTTTGATATTTTGTTCAAAATTACGTTACTGATTTTTTTCTATATGTAATTATTTTTAGATGGTTTTTTTTTATTTAAAATTTAATATTTCTTATTAAAGAAGCAATGATCAAATTTTTATTCATAATTTTGGCTAAGAAATTGATTTTTTTGACAGTTGTCGCAATATATTATGGTTTTAATAATTTTTTAAAATAATATATTATAAGAACAATTTTTATGAATTTGATCAAATATAGGAAAAAAAATTTTTTTAATTATTTCAACAATTTTAAATTATAACAAATTGGCTATTGCCAAGAAAAAAATCTATTTGATAAAATAAAATTGTAAAAAAACTTTTTGATAATACTAAATTTAATTATAAAATTTTTTTTGAAATAAAAATATGCTTGTCAAAAAATTTTTCTCACTTTCTTAATTACACATAATATTGACATAATCTTTGGTTCTAATTCTTTTAATGATTTTCCAAATTTTGAAGATCAAGATCGATTAGATGAAGATAATATTCGTTAATCATTTAACAAGAATCGCACTTCCACCCATTTCCTAAAAACCCGGTGGCCAAATTTGAAGCAGGACACACGCTCCATAAAAATTAAAATTTTTGAGTCCTTCGTAGCCCTATTATTTTTAAGCACTTAAAAAAGTCTTTCAACATTCTAAAGATCATTTATCTTTCTTAAATCTTCACCTGCAGTTTAATACGGCTACCTTTTTTTTCTAAGCTCTCGAAGCTAAGTTTTTAACAAGTGATTTTAAAAGTAATTTACACTTGTTTTTTTGACATGACTTATTTTCCAAAGCCACATTTAAATAATAAAAAAAAATGTATTTATCCGCAGAGTCAAAAATTTGTATCGTACATTTATACATTTGACTGGAATGAATTGACGGTAAAAACCAAAAAAAGTTTATTGATAATGATGATAAGATGTCATCGACCGCTAAAATTTCGCACTTGGAGTATGATCGAACTATCTATTGAATCATTCAGCCAGGTACGTACTTTTTCTAATATTCTAATTAAAAAAAAATATTTATTTACGTTATTGTAATTGCAGATTGTCAAATTTTCTTACTCTGCTTACAATGTCCTCGCTCAGTCACAATCTTAACACGTATTTATAATATTATGCGAATAAAAAAAAAAGAATAAGGAACAATTATAATTATTCATTTTTAAATATCACATATTAAATGAAAGTACCAAAAATTTAATGTACAGAAAAATAAACGGCAATAATAATATTTGTACTGAAGTAAGTGTCAAATTAAATCTCAAATAATACAGGCAACACGTGTGCGTAAGTATTTAAGGTGTTTGTCTAGTTATTTTATTTTTACGGTGGGGGGGGGGGTTTTGTTAAATCCCCTTGTTTTTTCAAGTTTTAAGTTTCAAGTATGATCAATTATTATTTTTTGGGCTTAAAAGTCTCTTGAGAGATTAAGGTATTCAATAGATCTAAATTGTTGGTGAATTTACTCAAATTTGGGTTGGACAAATATAAATAATGCTGTGAAGCGGGAGAGAATAGGAGTTACGGATAATTATTACGTGAAGCGTTCCAACAGAATAATTGGTAGGAAACGATTGAAAAAGGATTGTGGAGAGGAACTTCTTAATGTGAGTGTATAGAATATGTGAGAAAAAAAAAATTATTAGATAGCTCGGACTAATCGAACGCCCTCTTTCGTTCCGATAAGTGAATCATAAACAAATAACCAATTAAAAACTGTATTACCAGCGGTCAGCCAGCGAAACAATTGAGTATAGTGTCAGCTGTCTTCAAACTAGACTTACAAATAAATTTTTCTATATGGCTGCTATGGAGGGTAAAGGTATTTCTACCCTCCATAGTAGTCGTGCAGAAATGTAGAGACAAATAGAGAGAGAGGTTACTTTTCAATACTAGTGCGAGGTAAATTAACTGGTGCAACGACAAAATGACCGCGACAGAATAACCGCGACATTGTACCCTTGACTATGTCACTTACTTGTCTATACGACAAATTCAACTACAAATTAATTATTTGTTATTTACCGTAAGATGGACGGTGGCGTTTACTCAGCCAGGTCTCAATAGGTAACTGAATGATAGTTACAGACAGTGTCTCGGAGAGCTTAACTGGTAGAGCCTTTGGCGCGTAACCGAACGATCCGGGTTCGAGTCCCGGTCCGGGCTGTCCGAATTATTTTTTCGGTTACCGAAAATTCCTACTGAGTAAAAAAAGTCTTCCCCCCCCCCTTTTCCCCTCATCCTTTATTCACCCAATTCCCAAATTTGTCGCGGACATTATGACGCTGATCTATAGCATCGCAGATGCAGTGTCGCGGTTATTCTGTCGCGGGTTATTTAGTCGCGGAGCCAAATTAACTAAACTATATATATATATATATATATATATATATATATATATATATATATATATATATATACTACCTTTTTCGAGGGTTTTTCATTTATAAATTTTATAAAACTAGAAAATCGAGCGCACTTTTGTCAAAATGTTTATTATCAACAATCTAATTCATCACTATTTTTACAAATTTTATTCATTTATATTTTATACATTTATATTTCATTTAACCGTTGCCAAAGTGGTTACCATAGCAACGAAAAGCGACAACAATGACAACTTCACATCAACTTTTTAATAAAAGGATAGCTTTTGATTTATTTTTGCAAAATACTGATTTTTTTTTTTTTAAGATTTAGTTGAAGAAAAAAAAAGTCAACGAGCTTTCTGGGACTTGGCAGAAATTTGATAAAAATAAAATTGTAAAAAATTGGGGTGAAAATTTTCATATTTTCTTAATTATATAGATTAGTATTTAAAATATATTGATATTATTATGTAGAAGAACAAAATAAATAAATAAACAAATTTTATCGAACGCAAAACTCAAATCTATTTTAAATTACTTAAAAAATTTATTATAACAAATTAAATATCGATGAAAAACATATGGAACCTTTAAAAGACAAATTCAAGTCACGACATTTAGAATAATACGTAATTTAACTAAAAAAAATTATTTTATACTAATAATTGTTATTATAAAACAAAATTTTCCTTATTTTTAATTATTTATATAATAATTTAAATATCTGTAAAAAAAAATTTTTTTACGACTTTTAACTCGAAAAAAAAAAACGCAATTTGAATCTCGCGCGTAAATTTAAAATCCCGCAATCTCCCGCCAACCTGCGCAATAGATTCCTCGTGACTCTGCGCAAGCGTGATCCCCCCAGCGCAACAGCCCATGGACCATGGACCGTGGACGCCAGGGGGTTCAGGAATTCCCTCAGCAGTGCGTCGCGTACCACCTCAGCGCGAGGGTGTAGAATTTTTCCGCCGGGACCTGTCCGAATGTTCCGGTGTTTAGCTTACAATCCTGTTATTATTGTTTGATATCGTTTTTGACAAAAAATCCAAAAGTTAAGTTCCAAAAATTGAACGAATGCCGTAGCGAGTATAAATTTCCCTTTTAAAATAGCCCGCGTGGCCTGTGTTTATTAAAACGGTCGTTGAACCGTTCTGTGCTAGGTTTTATTGTATTTTAACACATAAATTACAGCTAATTGTTGTAATAAAAATAATACACACACATAATACTAAATTTAATTAATATTTATATATTTATATAACAATGAGTGGTTTCAAATATTTGTGCGTGCTATTAGCGCTTTCTTGGATTGGAGTTACTTCTGCCCGGCTTAATTGTGACGCTGTCAGAACGATATTTGAATCACATGGGTTTCCATCTTCTGACATTCCTAAGGATCCTATTTCATGTAAGTTATTTATGTAATTACTCTTGCTATCATTAGTGATTATTTGAAAAAATTTACTTACTCATTTTTTAAGGATTTTCTGATACAATTTTCAAGCTAAAAGTTTGAAATTTACTCCGAATTTTAATTGAAATAATGATTCATTTAATGTCATCGAATTTGAGAATATTGTTGTCAAAAAAATTAATCAATTAAATATTTTTAAACACTGAAAAATTTGGTCAATTTATAGTAAAAAAAAAAATGCAAATGTTGCAACAAAAATTTTTTCTGAATGAATTGACAGTTTGCTAGTTTATGATAATTGCGATTTTAACACCTGACAATTTATACTTTTATAACAAAAAAATTAGTGACTATTTTTACTTAAAAATGATATTTTTTTTTAATTTGTCAAAATTGCCTTATATGAAAAAAAAAAATAAGCACCAAATTTGTGAAACATTGGAAGATATATTAACAAAAATATTCTTAATATTCTACTTACTTAAATTATTAAAAAAAGCAACAATGCCAAAAAAACCGTTCAAAATTTTACGATTATTGTATTTTGACAAACAATTAATTCTTGATAATTATCAAAAAAATTTTCTCAACATAAATACTATATAAATTTTCAAAAATTAATTTTTTCCGTCGATTTATTTATTGAAATAAAAATAATTGAGTTTACTTATAAACTCTGAAAAGAGAAATTGTAAAAACAATTGGAAAATTTGAAAATTGAAGTAAAATATAATATGATAATAAATAACGAAAAGTTTCATTGAAGAAAAAAGGTAGCGACAAGTGTGAAGTGAAATAAACAAAGAAAAATGTAAAACAAAATGGTAAAAGGGATTTCAACACTACGGGATGCAACAGGAACTCTGTCATTGTTATTTGTATTACGAAATGACGTTCATTATCCCGGAAGCAACAATGCACAGCCAGAGATAGAAAGAGAGATGGACCGAGTAAAAGGGGATGGGGTGCAGATGGAAAATGCCATCCCGGGTGATGTCGTGGATTCTGTTTGACGTCAATGTATACCCAGGACAATTTTATATTTTCGGGTACATATACAAGCGTGAAGGATAATTCCTGCTAATATATATTTCCGATTGGTATTAATTTTTATATTAATATTTCTTTCATAGAATTTGATTTATATATAAATAATTTTGAAGGGAAAAAAATTGAAATGATGGATTACTTTAATTTCTTTGAATAAAAATATAAATATTTATCAGAGAAATAGATAAATATAAATATATAGATTGAATTGAATTTTTGGTATGAATACAGTTAATTATTAAATTCTAGCGACATTTGTATAAATATTAAAGGCTGAAGATAGTTGGAACTAAAATTGCTTTGGCAAAAAAATGTGAAGCTAAAGCAAAAGCTGAAATAATAATTCAAGATTAAAGTGAATAAAAAATTTAGTTTCAAAGAGTTTTTTGCAAAGGGGAAATGGATAAATGAAAATTAATATGTGGTTGAGTACACATATATTTATATATACATTTATACAGATGAAATAGTATAGGACCAATCGGTTCGCTTTCGTTTGCGCGCGTCCGACTGAAAGGGATTCGCGGATGTTAAAAGGGACCGCAGAGCATAAAAAGACCACTAGTTCTATCTCTTTTACACTCTCACTTTATATGTATATTTTGATATAACATTTGGAGTTATAGAGATTTAGTAATAAATCAAAAAAATTGTAAAAGCTTTTAGCAATTGTACGACTCATGATGCGAAGCATCAGAGAGTGCTTTACGATCGAAAAATTTTTTTCGCCTCATTTTGGCAGCTATTTTTATTATTATAGCCTTGTTAGTTCACGGAATCAAGATATTTTGCATACTATTGTCGAGATAATTTAATGGAGATTAATTCCATACTTTTTAAAAATTGATTTACTGCAATAGAATCGAAAAAAAACACCAAAATAGGCCAAAAAATTTTCCTGTCCGTCATGTGTGAAACCCGAAAACACTGTAACTTGTAAAAAAATCCATTATTTGACTTAAATTTTTTTTTCAAAAAATTCAATCGATGATTGTAGGTCACTGAATGCGAATGATTAATTAATTCAGTGTCGTTTAATTACAATTAATAAAAAACGAAAACTAAAAGACTGTATATCTATATATTATTATATCCCATAATAAAATTGAGATGAAATGTATGTGAAACCAATNNNNAGTACCCACATTAATTTTTCATATATTTTATATATTTATATATATGTATATATGAAAAATATATGAAAAATTGATATGCGTACTCAAATGAAAGGTCTTGATGAATGTAACTTTAGCATG